CTAGGCAGCTTTTCACCACCAGATCAATGCACTTCAAGAAAGAGCATGTTTTCCAGAAAATATTGTCCTTCACAACGTAAAACTGACAAAGGTTGGTGTCTTCCGGCCCAACGACAATAATTTTTGGTTGAAACGTATCCTTATGGCCTTTTAGTTCTTCAATTGCAGGGCCAATATCGTTAGCAGTTATACAATGAATCACGGAGTCCTGTTGCGCTTGGATAATTGTTGGCAATACTTTATGTCCCACGCGTTTGGGTTTGACTATACATGGGAAGAGCTTGTACAGCAGGAAGTTCCGAGAACCTAAAAAAAGTAACATTGATGAAATAATGATGTATTGTTGGATGAAAATTATTATTACATTGGGAGATATCCGGCTGCTTGAGTTTTTGAACAATTTCCAAACATGGTGCGTCTCGGATTACAACGGTCGATGCATGACGGTAAAATTTATCAGCAAATGAAGTCCACAACAAAAGCAATTTATTTCCATTACCTGGATTTAGAAACTCATAGTCGATATCAATCTATAGATAGACAAATATAAAAACGGTAGATTTTTTTTATTAATATTCACTTAAATACACGATAATAACATTTACAGAGTATATTAGTTATGATAAACCGGTGTAATTTTTTTTTCATTTTCCTACGACAAATCTTAAGCGGTTCCATTTTGGCCCCCTTTTTAGTTTGAAATTATTTGGTTGTGCAAGCAGCTGGCTGAAACTGTTTACAGTTTGTATATGTAAATACATATATAAAAAAACACTGGTTCTCATTCAACCATATATTGCTGATTGCAGCTGAAACTGGACTGTCCTAAAAATGCAAAAAGTGTGATAAAAGTGCGCGTTTCCGTCAAATCGTGTTGATGTCTTCGGAGCACTTATTGCTTGCATCATAAGGAATAAGTGCACCGAAGACACCACGACCATTAGACGTAAACTTGCAATTTTATCACACTTTTTAACACAAACGAAGTGACAGACGGAGCGGCTCGAAATTTTATTTGACGCACTTACATTTAAAATTTTCGAGTGTACCTCACGACAACACTATCTACTCATATGTACTAGCTTAAAGTAGGGGGAACCACCTGTTATCTCTTTTTCTCTAACGAAAATTGAGCCTGTTGTCAAACAGCATGTCATTATGTCGTCTGCACTTCTTTTGTATAATGAAAGACCAGAGGCCAAAATGATTAGGGATGAACACATAGCGTTAACATTTGCGTACAAGTAAACGATGTTGAGCAGTCAATGATTCGCGCTTGTTGCAATTGCTGCTACAGATTTCTTCAGTCCATGCTTCTAACTAAAGTCAGAGTCATCCGCGACCGAGAAGACATCATTTTTGGACGCCAACAAACAGAACCCGGCCATACTCGGTACGCATTTGCTCCTCCGTAGCGGAACTGGAAGGATCCACCCAAGCTGCCTGTTGCGATATCAGTTTTGTCTGCTCCAGCTTCTTCTTTTATTCTGCAGAACCAGACAGTGCGAGTACTGGTTGGCCAAACCAACCGGTGGAATACTAATCCGAGAGACGATTTCTTAGGCACGTTGCATTTGTCGCAGTAGATTGTCACTTGCCGGTGCACTTTCATGGTCACAATCGCCGTGGCAGTAGTTTCGTCATACAGATCGACCACTGGATCGATATCAACCCGATAGGTAAGGCCGGCATGCTTCGCGTAGTGGCGCTCCCTCATGTCGCGGGGAATCCTTTCCAAACAGGCGGCGCATTGAAACTTCTGTATACGAATCGATCGGGACATATAGGATTTAATGTCACGTTTTTATCTCTTGCTGCCTCGTCTGCTCAGCCTATTCTTATTCATCTTTTTTCTATTACTTCGACATCGATCGGCTTCCAATTACTGCTGTGTACGGCGTTTTCGTTTGGCTACTCAAACCGGTTCCGGAGAGGCAAAACATTTTCCGGTACGGGTGCGGGTAGTGCAGCTAACGTTCGTATCGGAGTGGATGTCCCTGTCGAATTGGTTGATTGGATCTAGAACAGTTATCTAGGTTCCAGAGATATGAACATTTGTCTATGTCCGAAGATTTACAGAAGTTTCTATATTCGAGATCTTTAAAATGGCTTATCTTAAAATTGACAAATTTGTACTAGACTTTGAGCTTTTCTCTCTGCACCTCAATTTTTCTCAATTTCAAGATTTAATGACTATGTTCTGACTATGTTCAATCGTTCACATCCCGAAATTCATTCATAACCAATTCGCGTTCGGAATCTAAAAACAACTTAAATGGTTGGTTTCCCAAAAATAGAGACAGGAAAATGAGCACTGAGTGAGGAAATGGAGGTTAGTAATTAACCTATTGAAAAATGCTGGTTTGTGAGTTTATGATATTTCTCAAAGTGGGTCGCATTCAACGACAGATCGGAACCACATCTTTCATTTCTTTCCGATCAATACATGTCGCTATTGGTAATTTTTGTCTGTTTTAATCTCACTATTTGGTCACTTTTTTCGTTATTTTAGACTCTACAGCCACTACAGGTCGGACTCGATTATCCGGAGTATCGATTTTTTTTTCACTCCGGATAATCAAATCCTCCGGATAATCGAATCACAAAAAAAAATCAAATCTGCCCCCCCCCCCCCCCCTCTTAGCTACATCTAATATTGTTAAAATAATCATATTGTATATTATAATACTAAATTATTTCAAATGTCTGATGCATAAACACTTATAGAAAAAAAAAACGCAAAAAATACTCCGGATAATCGAGTCTAAAATTCCGGATAATCGAACCCCGGATAATCGAGTCTCCGGATAATCGAGTCCGACCTGTATTATTGTATAAAATACCCACTACCAGTCCCGCAAAGTAGACGTATTGTAAAGCAATTCTGCTGACAAAACTATATCATTATCTTTAAAGGGTTAATTTTGATTGCTTTTTTTTTTGTTTAAGGCAGATTTTTTTTAATAACCGGGAAAATACCGGGAATAAAAAAATGGTATTTGAATGGACACCCTGGTGAGCGGCGGGTGACGCTGATAATCACTGGACCACGAAGCCCACAAATGTTGTCGAAAGAAGAAAAATTTACGGAAAAATAGGACAACGCAAACATTCCAGAAATTCTATATGTACTGCAAAATTGGTTTATACACCACTTGTTAGATACTGAAAAGTATTAGCTTAATCATTCCGAGCAATCGGGATACACCGGAGTCGCTGGAAGGATAACAGCAACATGTTTGCTCAGCAACAAAGAATGCCTGGCAGCATGATACCAATAACTGGTCCGCACAGCAATGTCCAAAAGTATGGCCGGAATACGTAATCAACGTTCCCTGTTGGATCGTCACAGCAGCGAAATATTCTTCAACCGCTAGTAGAATGGGACCACTATGTATGCCACGTTTTTCCATACCAGCAAACGTCTATTTTTTGCTCACTGTTTCAGCGAAACCGCCATCCCTCTACATTATGAATGAAATCAAAACATTGCTTCCCAAAGTGGCTACTCAGGTCAACTTTTCTCGGAATCAAAAAAAGAAAATCTCAATGTGATTGGTGAGGCAGAAGGAAACAAGTCAGCTCTTTCATTATCACGACGTTCTTATGCATAATCTAGTGTGACGTAACGTTGGATCATGCGTAAGAACACCGTGAGAACGAAAGAGTTGTCTTCATTCCTTCTGCCGCACCTATAGTAACGCACACGGTTCCCGCGCTGACTGTTCCTTACTTTCTCACTCTAATCAAAATTTCCTTCGATGAGTGAGAAAACAGCACCTCGTCAACGCGAGCGAGAACGCGGGTTGCCAGATCATTGCACACAAAACCAACTTGAATTAATTTAAAGCAAAACTACTAGCGAACCTGGCGGTGAGGGGCGGAAGGTGGACTAAAATTCTATTACAGAGAACCACATTATTTTAATTAATTTCTTCGGAGAAAGTCGTCTGTCACTTCGTTTGTGATTTAAAGTATCCTCTCCAATATTCGGAAAAATTCAAAAACTCTAATTTCATGCATGAGTTTTTTCACCTATGAGATTTGCCTAGCGAAATACAACCACAAACGAAGTGACAGACGGAGCGGCTCAAAATTTGATTTGACGCACTTACGTTTGAAATTTTCGAGTGTACCTCACGGCAACACTATCTACTCATATGTACTAGCTTAAAGTATATAGTTGATGCTATTGGCCTTGACGGCGAATCTATAGCTCTTTACTCCTATGGTAAAATCAGTAAGCAAACGTCAGACTGTGCGTGAAATTTACTTTCAAAAACAAAGAGGTTCGCAAGTGGTGCTGGTGCTGAAGAGTATGAACTGCTGTTGGATGATCAGATTGATTTCGTCCAGGCACTCCGACTGGATGGAACTAAAGAAAAGGACCGGAAAGCACCGGTATCTGAGGCGGAAAGGAAGAAGATGGACATTGAGGAAACGAAGAAATCACTTCCAGTTTTTCCATTCAAGGAGGATCTCATAGCCGCTATAAAAGAACACCAGATTCTTATTATCGAAGGAAAAACGGGTTCGGGAAAAACGACACAGGTTCCACAGTATCTCTATGAAGCTGGGTTTACAAACGACGGCAAGAAGATTGGATGTACTCAGCCTCGTCGCGTGGCAGCGATGTCCGTGGCGGCACGTGTTGCACAGGAAATGGGCGTCAAGTTGGGCAACGAAGTTGGTTATAGTATTCGTTTCGAGGATTGCACATCCGAGCGGACTGTCATTAAATACATGACAGATGGTACGTTGCACAGGGAGTTTCTTTCGGAACCGGACCTAGCTTCGTATAGTGTGATGATTATCGATGAAGCTCACGAGCGTACGTTGCACACGGACATTCTGTTTGGATTGGTGAAGGACATTGCGCGGTTTCGGTTGGATTTGAAACTACTGATTTCCAGTGCCACGTTGGATGCGGAAAAGTTTTCGGATTTCTTCGATGATGCGAACATATTCCGTATTCCTGGTCGTCGTTTTCCGGTACGTAGTTAGATTTGACTTGCTTTGTGTTTTGCTGTAAAATCTAACTTTTTCTCTTCTAGGTTGATGTCTTCCAGCGAAGCCGAAGTGCAAGCCGACCCACTCGAGAGGGCAACGTCTTTCAGCGCCATCAACAGCGATTCACCCTCAACGTATGCAAACGACAGATTGATACATCCGGGATAAGAATGAACTGGATCGCCATTGCGGATGACTTTCGGTAGCGATGCGAAGATTTGGTCCATCAGGCGTTTCGAGAGGAACTCCATCCATTTGTGATCGTACTCCATTTCACGGCTAGCGATTTCACAGGCTTCCCCCAATCCAACGACCAGTGGAGTCGGAACGGTTCCACTTCGAATGCAACGCTCCTGGCCACCTCCGCTCTGAATGGCTTCCACACGAACTCGAGGACGAATGCGAGTTGAATGCGAGAGGCTCCCAAACATACAAACTTTGCTCTTTCATTATCACGACGTTCTTATGCATAATCTAGTGTGACGTAACGTTGGATCATGCGTAAGAACACCGTGAGAACGAAGGAGTCGACTACATTCTTTCTGCCGCACCTATAGTACCGCACACGGTTCCCGCGCTGACTGTTCCTTACTTTCTCACTCTAATCAAAATTTCCTTCGATGAGTGAGAAAACAGCACCCCGTCAACGCGAGTGAGAACGCGAGTTGCCAGATCATTGCACACAAAACCAACTTGAATTAATTCAAATCAAAAATACTAGCGAACCTGGCGGTGAGCGGCGGAAAGTGGTCTAAAATTCTATTACAGAGAACCACGTTATTTTAATTAATTTCTTCGGAGAAAGTCGTCTGTAACTTCGTTTGTGCTTTTTAATAAGTGAAAACGCGCTTATTAGTCCAATTTGGTGTGAAATGCGCAATGTATATAAATTATTCATTCAATTCTACAAAAACCACATTGAAACCTTTTTAAACCTACAATGTGAGGAACTACCTTGCTGCTGACGGGGGAAATCGATTCCACTTAGCGGGTAAAAGTTTGACGGTTTTGTTTCTATTTGCTGCGGAATAACAATATCAACAAAAAACCTCTTGCACTGAACAATAACTTTTTTTTCTGTTTAGTCGAATAGATTTCCTGCCTTCGAGAAAGTTGTTCCTCACATTGTGAACTATAGATTGCTTCTTTTGTGGTTGTGGCAGCATTTAATGAATAATTAATATATATGATTGAATTAGAAGCAGTGTGTTTTCATATATTTTTCCATACATATAATCTAAAAATTGTTGAGTCAGCTTCTGATGCAACTAAAAATAGCAAACTGAAAAGAAGTTCATCAGGGGCAAAAAGAGGACCAATTTAAGCTTTGTCGTGAAAATTTGCACCGGTCTAATAAATATGGTAATAAGTAAACTATTATCAAACAGAAGTTCACAATAGTTTGAACTAGGAGAACATGGAGTACGAAGAACACAAAAAACATACTGTTGGTTGCGAGGGGGGCGACTCTACCTGCGATGCAGAAAATATTGTCTTTTGTTATGTGCGCGCACGCTTAATAGATAGAAATAAAGTTTATATCGCTTCTGAAGATTTTCTGCAAAAAGATTACGCGCAATGCAAATAGATGCGAGAAATGAAAGAAGATTTGCCGAAGATTGATTCGCTAGTGTGATATTTTTTGAGCATCTAGAATTGAGATTTAGAGGTGTCGCCCCCCCTCGGTTGATTGGTTCTCTATACATTTCTAACTTGAAAATATTGTTCTACTTACATAGACAGGACCTTCCGAGTCTCCAAAACGTGGCCAAGATTCCAGTAACTTAGAAATTTTATTCTGTGCTTTAGGGATTTCCTTGATCATCTGCAACCGATACGGATAAGTTTTCTTCCACTTCTCCTTGACATCGGCTAAAGGTGTGTTATTATTTTGTAGCCATGCCTGATCTTCCTTCAGCGAAACTAAATCTAAATAAAACAAATTAAATAATAAAAAAAACTAAATAGTATACTGTCGTTCTTAAACATATCTGTCCCAAAATCACAACAAAGTGTAACAATTTTCAACTCTTGATAAACATTTCAAAATATCCTATCTGCATTGACCGATTCTCTTCATCGCCTTTTCTTTCGTTATTAACTCAGTTGCAAAGCCATTCCCTGTTGTATTTGACGTTTTGAACGATAGATAAGAACCTCCTTTATCAAACCATGTGGTAAAAATAGCTTGAAATCTGTTTGAATAGCAGTGGTTGTCAAAAGAGAAAGTCGATGAAGAGAATCGATCAAAGAGCTAAGCGAAACAATTTTCTAGAACTTGTTTAAGGCACAGTTGTAACAGGTTGTATTGCCTATCAAAAGCAACAGCAAACGTACCGAGAAACGTTAAATCTAGCGAGTTATTAACAAAAGAGAAAATCGATCATCGCGTTTACGCCCTTATGCATGCTCACTGTCGATATATTTACCTTCAGGGCCGTACTTTTGATTGGATACGTCACTTTCGTTGGAGTTTTGCAGTTTCACTTTCTTCTTGCGTGGTGACTGGAGAGCTTTCCGGTCACTTGAGTTATAGTACTGATGATACAACAGACCTGACGGATTTATCTTTCCGATAGATTTATCACGCGGACACAGATAAGTTTCCTGAAAAAATTAAAAAGTGCAAAATTAGAACGAATCATAATGGAAATTGTCTATAACAAAACTAGCAGAGTACTTTTCTTTCAGAGCCAAGTTTAGCAACGATAAGTTCTGCGAATTTGTCCATATCAGCGACTGGGAAATTTTTCCCTTGTGCGATATACGAGTCGACTATAATCTGACTGAGTTCTTTTTGCATCACTTTGTTTACAGTTTGGTATTTACTGTAATATCATAGAGGTAACTCTAAGACCACTGGGTCCCGAAGATAATCATTATTATTTTTGGCTCACTCAGTACCAGAACAACGGTCCCAAGCAGTCCCAAGCTATTTCACTCACCCCTGCATGTTCTGCATGAATCCACACACCCCTGATGTTATCTGTCAAACTTTCATTGGCGTCTTGCAGTGAAACTTTTCCAAGCTTTCGCCACCTACATTTCTAAGTGAGAACTACTAGAAGGAGGATAGTTTCCAAATTTTCCAAGTAAAACAGACGCTTTTTGGGGCAAATCGGTCCATAAAGAAAAACTAATAATTTCCCGTGGAAACTTTTGCTTGAATCGTGTAAGAAAACGTGTTTGAAAACTATTTGTTATTATTTCGGTATGAATCGGAGATGTTTTCATGGCAAATTATGCATAACAAGTTTGCACCCACAGGGAGAGGTTACCTCCTGCGCAGCGGCATTTTTCGGAAAATGGTGAATATGTGCGATTTCCACTAGGATGAAAGTGGAAATTAAGTGAATTTACTTAGGAAAGGTTGTATCATGCTGGTGGTAATGGAGATTGGTTGTATAGGACGCCAATATTCAATAAATGTTCATTTTGGCCTTTTGTGTTAGCAAACATATTGATGCTCACAATTTTCGACGGAAAACGCAACGGAACTTGCTTTACTCAACACGCACCATACTATAAAATGGTGCTAGATGGTCTTCAAAGTGATAGCAAGATGACAAATCATCTCTATTTTGAGTAATTGAGCAATTTACTTCTGTTTACATCATATTTACGATGCAGCATTGTTGGAGCCGCGAAATGAAATGAATATATCTTATGAAAGTTCAACTGGAAAAGTCAAAGTTGCACATCAGTCTGAACGTAAAAACGTTTTCTTCTGCAATTCGAATGTTATATTGGAAGAATTTTACACAGGCTTGATGAAAATTATGATTTAACGCTAATTTTCACGAATTTTATATGCAGTCTGTCAACATTATCATCATCATGCAGTGGCGACATCTGCGATGAGCTTTTACGGCAATCTTCCAATAGCGAATCAAAACAAACATAGTGTAGTAATAGAATTTCAACTAGAATAGGGTACGTTAATCGTTTGCTTGGGACCAATAGGCTACTAAAGTGGTGAGCCAATTTAAAATCGTTAGTTTCGTATTGATTGTTGGTAATATCGCATTATTATTTTTCCTTTCTCGTTAACGTTTAATAATCTGTCGAGGTCTTGCGCTTGAACCTGTGACTTGGCGAAGTTAAGTTTAGAGCAAATTTCTTTAGCAGGCTGGTACTGTGCAGATGAGGGCCAATTACGTAGTTTGTTCAGTAGTCGGAACTTCTCTCCCGTTCGACAGGGTTCAAACAGTTCATTTACATCTGCTATTGAAACTTGTTTCAGGTCTTCATACTCTAGTCCTTTTTCTGAAATAACGAATTTAAGTAAAAAACAGATATTAGGAAAGACCGTGGGAAAGATTGATCAATTAAAATTAAAAATTAAATATCGTTAGAAATTCCGATGTTGGTTTGCGTGGACGTGGATTATAGAGTATTCCTCTGTGCCAACATACACTTCAGAAAAACAACAATTAACGTACCTTTCAATAGCACATAAATGCTGTTGCTCAGTTTCCATTCGTCAAGCTGCTCTTTAAGAGGGGAGCTTGGAGAGCAGCTACTAGCCGAGCCACCGTCGTAAGTCCCACTCGATTCGGAATGCTCCGGAAGGTCTGAAGAACACCTAATATTCTGGTTCACTTTTTTCGGAAGCACCTCTTCGACTTCGCATGTTTCGTTTATGTGTTCTAAATAATGAAAGAAACGATAAAAAAATAAGTTAATGGCAACAGTTTTATTGCAATAATATAAACCCGTAAATAAATAATATGAGCCAAGCGTAGATCCGAAGTTTATTCATTATCTCATTGCAGAGAACATAACCTTAAAAAATCCAAAACCTAATAACACGAAAATATGTAGGAGTATGATAAAAATTACCTGCATTACAATCCGTTCCTCTTCCGACAGTACCAGCCGCCGAAACTGAAGGTTGCTCTTCCTGCTTCTCGTCTTCGTCCTGCGCTTCCTCGGAAGAGGAATCAGTCCCGCTCTCCCGGTCGCTCTCGTATACATTTACGAACTCTGGTTCTCTACGCATTTCCACTGCTTCCACACTTATCTTAACTATTTAGCTCAGATGCTGCGGAAATGTAATTTATTATATTTCAACAATTTTTTTTTTCGGAATCTTCACACCTCGCGTGTTTGTGTTGTTATGCGAAATCCAGAACAGTGCATGCAGAATGGATGGTAAAAGACTGACGCATGGAATTGGCATCAATGCCACACTGAAAGTCAACCTATTCTAATTTTAAAAGTTTACACTTTTAATTTTAAATGGAAATCAACCAGATTTCACTTTTGATTTAAATGATATATTCTAGGAATAAGATTTTTCATCTTGATTTACCAAATTTAAGCGAACTTTTAAAAGAAAAGTTCAATATTTTCAAGGACACAATCTTTTTGTTTTGTGTGTACAACGTTATATCATAGAGGTAACTCTAAGACCACTGGGTCCCGAAGA